TTGAGAATAAAAACTACAAACAAATGATCAACAGGAAATTAGATAGATAATAATGATAATTATAATAATCAACTCAAGGGGGTATAAGCACCTTCCGTGGGGTACTGATGACAGTTGCCTTGTAGAGTGTAGTTGTTCCTGGATAAACAGCCAAAACATGTCTTCCAGAAGGGAATTCTGGAACACTAGAAGGATCATTTCGCTTGGGAAAAGGTATAATGCATGACATTGGTAGCTTGTATTTCCTGAAAAAGGTAATGGGATGAAAAGAGAAACATCAATCAACCAAACCAACTCACCATAATCAATTGAGATAAAAAGAGAAGCACATATTGGATCTAGCATTATCCTTCAAGAATCATGTAAGGTCCTCCAAGCTTACACATTCACAATAAGAAAAAGAGTGAGAGAAGTTTTATCCTATGATCATTCAGGTCCGATAATTTTTCAGACAAAAAGCATCTAATGAATTTAGACATTTGGGGATAAGTAGCACCTATGAGGAAGTTACTAAGGTCAAACTCGTCTGTAATTGCAACAATATTGTTTTGCTGATCACTAATAATAAGCCGTTTAGAATGAAAATTTTGGATTAAGAATAACTCTTATGTTCCTTAAATAAATAAGAGATCCATATCGTCACCAAAAAGTTTGTGTTTAGAGAGCCGGGGAAAATGTACAAGATTTATCAGTATAAATTAACTATACACATGAATATATAAGACATATGACATCAACAAACAATTTTAATAGCAACAACAAAGAAGTGAATAAGATATAATCATCTCACTGTCAAGATATTTAGAAGCCTCAGCAAAAAGAAGCTACCTTTGAGCGCCAGCCTCTTCATCATCACCTGGCTCCTCATCAAGCACTTCAAATCTGCAAGCAATTTAACAAGTTAAGAACAAGTTTAAAGAATTTTGGCTGTAAAACACGAACAGAAAGAAAGAAAATGCTTTAAATATGAAAAATGGCTCTTTTTCACTAAAAAGAAAAGAAGAAGAAGAAGATAACTGGCTAAGGAGCAGCAACCAATAGCAGGAAGCATATTTCATAAGTTCAAGGAACTGTACTCACTCTTTTGTTTCCCTATCGAAGTGCATCACTTTCATAACGTACCATTCAGCGTTCTCACCATTTTCTGGTGTGACCTTTGCTGCTACCTGAATATAAGAACGAGTTAATCTTCTCACAAAGAAAAAGTAGAAATATCAAAACGCAAGTTATCCATTCAAGTAGCTTCCAGTTGAAAGTTAGTGGCAGAGAGGTCAGCCAAAAGCAGCATTTGAGCTTTTATATTCTATCTGACACAGCTTGTGTGTTGCTCAGAGTGTCTTTTTGTGTCAAACCCATGGTGGGCACAACCCGATGTTAGTGTGGTATGGGATTATTGTCTTATACTTGATGCGCATATCAAACACTTGATGATCAAGAACTAAAGGTTATAATATAAAATAATATGAAAATGATGACAAAGGCCATTATTTTGTTATGAATATGACATTGTCATATCTTTCTAAAAGCTTATATATGACTCTTGTTATTTTTCATATCAAAGAATCCAAGTACCCGTATCCAATTTCTTGACTTTTATTGACCGAAACTCTATATTTTTCACCATAAAAGTTAGCTAGTCAGACACTTAAATCTATACCTATACCAGACACTTGCATTGGAGTCCAAGCAACATAGGAAACAGCTATTCTGAATTTATGATGAACTACTAGTATAGAGCTAGAAGCATACCTGTTCACCTTTTAGACTAGCACAGGCTTCAACCTGACTTCGCATAGACGGAGAAAGCCTTGAAAGGTCTGAATCAGCCTTCATTCGTTTCCTCTTCTGGTCATTACCTTCTGCCACATAGGTAATATAAGTAGATAAATATGTAATGCTCACTAAAATCTAGAACAGGCAATGGAAGGGTGTTGGCAGGAGGCACATAAAGACTTACATTTTTTCAATTGGATTAATAGAATTAGCTCAACTATTTAGCTATGTAATTTTAACTAATACTTTATATTTTCAATTGCTTGGAAGAGGCTTGTTTCTAATCCTACCTTCGATGAATTTTTTCTTTTAGAAGAAGTTTAATCATGTTATCCATAGGTATCTTGAATATGTACAAACCCATGATCACATGTCATGAGCAAAGTACATCCTGAGGTTGAAAACTTCTTATATAAACACCGGTCACAATAATACCAGGCACTGAATCTGAATTCATCAGGGGCAATAAATAGGATAGATTGTATGTTTTCTTCCTTGGAGTGGAGTGGTGGCAATCTTATTTGCATTATGTAAAATCATAGTTCCTTCATCTTGTAGAGAATTAATATAACTAACATGGTCTACACAGACATTTAGAGCACATATCATTTGCTACAACGGGATACCTGTTTATAGCACCTATCTGCCAACAGGTTTTTTTTTTAAAAAAAAAAAGAGAAAAAGGATTTATTCTGACAGAAAATTCTGACTTAAAAGACCAACTACCAAAAATCCAATTTTCAATATTTGCAATTGAAAGCCACTGTGAAGAGCTTAAAGAAAAGGTCACAGTAAGAAACACAATAGTTCATATAGGGACATAGGATGCAGCAGAGATTGCAGCACTCACCTATCTTTCTACGTTGCTGCCCAGGAGGTCCAGAGGGCAGCAGGCCATCCAGTTGATTAAGTAGAGTGTTGGAAATACTGCATTGAAAGAAAAAGGATACATCACAGGGAAACTACATATTACTGACCAGAATATTAAGAATTGTTGTAAGTTTGTTTTCAATGGACAATTTATCATATTAGCCAGGACCTTAGCTTCAAAATATGAGTCTTATTGCTACCATTAACAAATTAATAACGAAAATAAACCAAAAGGAACAAATAGAGGCATCTAGACAATGTCTTTTTACTTCAAAAACTCACCGTACTTCATTTTCTGAAAGTTCTTTTGCCTGAATGTATAAACTCTTTAACCTTGATAATGAATTATCACCAGGCTTCTCAACTACCTCAGGAGCTGCATCAACATGCAAAATATCAGGTCTGAAAAAGTAGTTAAATTGAAAATCCAAGAGAACTAAAGTTGCACAGTAATTCAACAAAATTGGAAACAGTGGAAACATTATTCAATAACTAATCTACCTACAATTTATGTAGTAGTTCTTACATAAATTGTTTCTAGCATTGAAATGAAATTGCTGGCCACAAAAATTCATCAGAGAAATATATGTAATTCACATTCTCCTCTTTAGGAAATAAGGCACAACAATAATGCTAGCATAAAGAGGACTTGGAGCACAGGAAAAAGTCAGTCATAAAACAGACAGTTCTAGGCTTACCAGAATCAGATCATAAAAATCTTAATCACATTAATCTGAAAAATAAAAGAAACTCCTCATCTAAAAATTTTCTCCAAAAATCAATTTCAATTATTGATTGTGCCAAGAGCAAGTTTCATGCTATATCTAGTTAACACACTGTTGCATTGTTAAAAGGGAAAAAAAAAAAAAGAAAAAGAGAAGTTTCAAATGCTGAGTTAAGAAAGAACAAGATGAACCAAAATTATTCAAAAGCAAAGCAAATACTACGTTTGGAGAAAACGGGTAAGTGCCAATTTTGGAACACGTATCAGAATCTATCCGACTAGTCCTTATAATCACTCTACATAGAATTCCAAAATAAAACAGGAAACATCATGAAAAAGATCTTATTTCCTTTTTCACAAACAAGAAAGGAATAAATAAACTTTCTATAGATTTCCTTTTTACTCCGTCTAATACTAACTAGCGAAACTGTTTTTCTTTCGATCATTCCTTTCGACTGCATACTGCTATATTTCTTGGTAGCAGCCATGTCACTTAGAAATTCTCTGCATAAAATGATGGCCAGTTGCAGCAATGATAAATTTCACAAGGATTAACGTAGCTATGGTTAAAAGCATTAAATGGATTAAATCAGTTATGAAACGTAAAAAGGTCCACCTCTCACAATATTCTTTTCATTTGTCATTTGTGATTAATTTCCCCGCCACTTCCTCATTTCCATGGAAATAAAAATCATCGATCACTCATTAATTCACAGTGATTAAACTAGTGATGAATAACGGAAGCTGATAATTTTTAGTAAAATTAACCAAATTTTTTTTTAAAAAAAAACCACAAAATACACCTCAAATTCAATTATTCTAACAATATTAACCTCAAATTTACTTGTTTTTATTTAAAAAAAAAAAATTCTCGCCCCCTAAGAAATACCAGAGCAGAAACATTGTTTAATCAAACAGTCGTGAATCCAAAAATACGAAATAGGGCAAGAAAACGACAACACATATGATCACAAAACGCTAATTGGCAAAACCGACTGATACAAGCATAGATTACCGAGACTCACTTGCTTGGAGTTTTTTGTGCATCTTGTTGATTTCCACTAGAACCTCTTCTTGTTCTTTCCTCAACCGATCGAGCTCCTTCGAATTGTCCAGTATTCCGGCAATGTCCGGCGACGACGACATCGTTTCGCCTCACCCCAACCGAGCACCCGCCGGACGGCAACGAGACAAAAACGACACTGTTTCGGAACGCGAACTCGATCTTTACTAGAATGTGTATTTACTTACATTCAATCATTATTGCGATCAAAATCGTAAATTACCGAGAAAAAAATAATCTCCCTCTTTTGGGTTT